TGATGATTCGACAGCCTGTTCTTTATTGACAAAAGGCGACATTTTCCTACCACTTTAAATACAGTAGATTATTTTTGGATTACAAATGGAAACCATCCAATCAGATCAAACCATTTCTGACTGGATTTCGCTCTGCCTAAAAACAAAAGTTATTCTGCCAAAAAAGAAAAAGAAAAGAAGAGAAAAGATTGATGCCAGCTCTTGAATTTCATTAGCTATGTTAAGTAAACACACACGTACGTGGGAGACCCACACCACATATGCGACCGGGAAGTGAGGCAGAGAGGCAGCGCTACCACTGCCACACACTGGCGGAGCCGCTAAGCGGCTTAGTGAAAGTCCTCTGCATGTCTGCTTGCCTGCCTGCCGAATGTGTGCGGCAGGCATCGACAAAAACAAAAAAAAACAAAAACGAGGAAAGGCAAGAATATACCTATACACTCGTATTCATACGAGTACGAGTACGTCTACGACTACGAGTATGACAGCCTTTTGAGGGAAACTTGAGATGCAGGAAAACTGGGGCTGGCTGGCTGCGCGGAGGCGGTGGCGGTGGCAGCGGCGGCGGCGGCGTAGGCGGAGGTGAAGGAAAGTCGCTTTGGTGTTTAAACAACTTTGACGCGCTTTCTAGATGCAGGACCCCATACATGTAAGAGCATTTTCCCCACCGCTTTCAGCTGATGTGTGGGTCTGTGTCTGTGGCATTTCCGCTCCTAATGGCACACACACACACATACGAATAGAAAAACTTTGATGACGTGGGCTTGAGTTTGACGTGCCCAAAAGAAATTTGACTTCTTATGAAAGGGGGAAAAACTTGGCCACGACTGTGCCGCACTGGGACCAGGACCAGTGCTTAGCTCGTTAACATTTCGGCCCCAGTGCCAAAAGTCTTTGGTCCTTCAGCTCGTTCAGCCTTTCCAATTTGGGTTGACTAACTTTTCGAGTTGGGCTACGATACAAATTGCTACGGTTTCGTTTTCTCTTTTGCTGGGAAAATTGCTGCAATTATCATTTGGCATTTTGGCAGCCATTGGGGCATTCCTCAGCCCCTCCCCCAAGACGCTAATGAGGCATCAATGCATTGAACCACAGACCAGACCAGGGACATGTGTCTCTTGCAACAGAAATTATAGTCAAAGGCACACACACCCCCTGACAGACGCTCTAGCGCACCCCCACTTTGTTGCAGGTGTGTGTGAGTGTGTGGAGTGTGTGTGTGTGTGTGTGTGTGTGTGCCTCTGCACTTCCCTTTCCGCTGCGTTATTGAGGCGCAAACTTTGTTTGGTGCAAAAATGACAGACGGGAAAGGAGAAAAGACTGACGTGCTATAAGTCAAGTTCCCTTCCGGCTTGGCTGGGGATGAGACGGGTAGCTTGAATAGAGGAGTACGAGCAAGCAGGAGTAGAACGATGATGACAACCGACAATACCATTCCCAGTTACAGCAGCAGCAGCAGCGACAGTAACGACAGCAGAAACGGGCAGCCAGCCAGCCAGCCAGCCAGCCAGCCAGCCAGCCAGCCAGCCAGCCTGTCCTTGGCTACAAGAATACACACAAGTCCTTCAACACAATTTTTGATGTGCAACTATTTTGCATATGTGGGGAAATGTGCACATAGATATGCGCATACATATACCAGATGTGGAGGTGGGGGGGCTAGGCCACAGCCAGGGAGGAGAGGGATATCTTAGAGCTGGGAAATGTTGGGGAATGTTGGAGAAATCGCACATTCCCGCTCTTGACGAAAGCTTATATCAACGCACGCGCCATTCCTTTGAGACCCATTAAAGTCAGCGCAGCAGCAGCCTTTCCATCTCTCCTCGTAAACAGGATATGAGGCAGGGATGTGTGGTGTGGCTCGTGTGTTGCGGGGTTTGTGTTTCTCGGTTGATAAGCCAAAGAGTCACGATAAACTAAACGACAAGCCGTCGTCGTTGTTTTTGCTTTGCTAAAGTGCAAATGCGAATGCTGTGAGGAGTTAAGGAGGCAACCATTTAAGAGCGCTCCCTCGGTTTATGCTTTAAGCAGCACACACACACACTCACACTCACAGATACACTGCACTTGGCTAAGACAAAGTTGGCCACATTAAAAATGATTAGCAATTTAATGCACGACTAGACATCGTCCAGTTCTCGCTCTCCCTCTCCCTCTCTCTCTCTGTCTCCTGCTGTGTGTCTCCCTTTGTGGCACATTCTACTGACGCCAGACATCGTAATGGCCAAGCAAAGCAAGGGGGTCCTAGGAGGGGTGTGGCAGTGGCTGGGCCATAAAATTGTTGAAAACAACATGGTCGTTTCCGTCGGCAGGCAGTCAGCCCTCCAGGCGTACTGGCGCTCTTCTTTGAGCTTGGAAACAGAAAAACGAAAGATTGAATGCATCAAAGATTCAAGTCTGGCTTGAAGAATACGATACCAAGAGCTGCAACAATCTTCAAACATCAATCTATACGTTTTGTGCCAATTTCTAGGGTATTCCTGACACTTTTTTTTTTGAGAAGTTCCCAGCTTTCGCACCGATTTTGCGACAGTTTCTCATACTCCCTCCATGGAACCTCCCTGGTATTTTCATGTTCTGTCGTGCAACAAGCATTCTCGGAACTGGCGAAAAAAGCATCAGCAACACTTTCCGCCTCACTGCCGATGACATCTGCTGTCTGCTGACGCCGCTGCTGTTGTCTCTGTCGCCGTCCCCATCCACGTGGCACTCAGTTGTTGTTGCTGTCGGTGCGGCTTCCGTCCAGGTGGCAGGGAGCCCGTCCCCATGTCTGCTCGTTGTCTGAGCCTCTAATTTAAAATTATGCAACTGTGTGATTTTTTCGGTGCGCTTTTCTGTGATTTTTCCCCCGTTCGGGCTTCTGCCTCCCCTAATGCTATAATTTTTTCCCTTTGACAGGCACTCATTGACTCGTGTGCTGCTGCTGTTGGACAGCACACACTGTTGTTTTGGGGTCAGGCGTTGCAAGGCCCCCAAACAACATTCATAAATCATTTACAGAGGAGGCAGAGGAGCAGAGGAGCAGAGGCAGCATAGGAGGAGGTGCAACCCCAACTATTGTCGTTTTTCTACTCATCGTTATCACGGGGCTGAAGGGCTGGCGGCAGGCGGCTGGCGGCGGGGGGCTGGGGGGCTGCTGCAATCGACAGACGACAGACCACCGCCCCGTCGCCGACCCATGCTCCGCAGAATCAGCAGACGTAGTCTGCCTGCCGTAGTCCCGTCCCTGGCAACGACGTTGCACAAAAAACACATTAATCAATTGCCACCGACATCGTCTCGGGGCTACATAGTACATAGTGCATCCTCTCCTCCATTGTGCCGAGAGTAGATCGGGAAAAGCGCGCAGCGGAAAAACAAGGACGAAATGAAACCGTTACACGCTCTGCAAGCGTAGCAAAAAAACAAAAAATAGCGGGGAAAAAAACAAAAAAAGGAAAATGCACTCGTAACTTTCCATAATGTGCAGCGCGCGTGAAAATTCGTCCTTAGTCTGGCGTGAAAAATATGCGAGTGAGACAGAGCAAAAAATCCAAAAATAGTACACATAAAGGGAAAACCCCCAAAACAACAAAAAAAAAAAACAATAAAAGCTGTAACCAGAAAGAAAATTGTTTACGCTGCAAGTATTTATGATTTTCATTGGTCGAAGGTTTTTCCCGCAGCGCGGATATTTATGCCCATATTCGAGGTTCGAGGTTCGTTTTCGAGTTCTGGTTTATGCCCACGCGATAAATATTTTCCCATAAATTTGGCGTGTAATCGGGCAACACGCTGTTGGTGGCGGGAGCGGCAAAGGTGCAGTGCTGCCCAGCAGCGTTTGAATAATTTAAATTACTTAACCGCAAAAACATTCATTAGCCAGAAGCCAGAAGTTTTCCAACTTCCTCTTAACGCGTCCGTGGCCGATTCGATTACTGGCGTTCCGATTTAAAGAAAATCAGCCCTGTGCCCCCAGCCCATCTCTAACATATGAAGAGTGAATTGCACTTTGTAACATTTCGTTCTTTTTAATTTCAAATTTTGCAAATAGTCTAAAAGAAAAATGTCTTTGCCAAATCAATCGCAAAATAACGCCAAGGAACAACCACTCTCGGAGATGGCCCATCCGTCGAAGCCGCAACAAAAGCAGCAAAAGAATACTGGGATTGAAATTTCGAAGAAGCTGTCGATCCCGCTGGAGCCGCCCAAGGAAGCACCCAAGAAACAAGGCGACAGTGAGGCTCCTGAATGCGATCCGACCAAGCGCAATCGTTCGTCGAAGAAGCTGCTGATCCCGCAGCAAAAGAGCGTCAGCTCTGAGATTTTGGTCAAGTTGCGCAAGAAATCCCCCACCGAATCGTGTTTGGTGGAGCTTTTCGGGCGCACCCTGGACCTCTCCAAATTCAAAGAGTCGACGCCTCTCTACTCGATGTGCCGCGCCTGGATGTGCAATCAGACGCGCCACACCGCCCTGGCCACTTGCAACAAGGAAGCCGACAATGCTACTGGGCAGCAGCAGCGCGAGGACAATGCCGAGGAAGTCCTGGCCCAGATAAAGAGCGGAATGATAGAAATGCTGTCAAAAGTGCCGCAGGCCCGCTCCACCAGCCTGATGGCGGTGCCACCCGCTCTGGTGTACACCGAGCAGGAGAAGATGGAAGACGAGATGCTGCATGGGGCCCCTGAGGCGCAGCTCCTGGCCGCCAATGTGGCCCGCTGGAAGCGCATAGGCAAGCACTGGCAGGAGCATGCTCGCACATACAACCGCGAGCGCTACGAACTATTGGACAAGATCATGGACGAGGCCTTGCTAAAGAAAGAGAAAGAATAAATAAATACAAACAATTAATAAAGTGGAAGATTTCGCTTTCGATTAAAGTCTTTTTTTTCTTTTTTGAGTAGAGTTCAAATGATGAGAGATTTTTCTGCCTTGGGGTTGCATCTCCCATACCTTTAGTTACCTTTAAAATCGTTTAACCTTTCATGTTCTTTACTCTCTCTCTGCTCTCTTTTCGCAGGCACAACAATAATGACATTGAAATGGCGGCAGAAATACAAAAGCAGAAAAAGGCCAAAGAAACTGAAACAACGAACAATTGCAACAAGCACTGCCCCAGCAACACCAAGAACACATGCCACAAAAGAAACAACAACAACAACAGCAAAAGCAACACGAAGAACCAGCAGACTGAGAGAGACCAGAGATCAGAGGGAGCGGAGCAAGAGGAGGAGGATGCTGCAGCAGCAGCAGCAACATCACAGAAAATGGCTGCCAAATGAACGACACAGAAACGTCGCAAAAATGTTGCAAATGCAGCAAACTGCAACAACAAATCCCACACAATGTCAAGCAATTAAAGCGGCAGCAGCCTCGACAATGGCTTCCAGCTGGAGCGTCAGCCATTGTCAGTCACAGCAGAGACAGCTGCAGGAGCTGCAGCTGCAGCAGGACCAGCACCGGCACCAGCACCAGCACCAGCACCAGCACCAACGGCGACATCCATTTCCGGCGTCGGTACAGACGCTGCTTCTCTGCTTGGGCCTATGCCTGGGAATGGCAGCTGCTGCTGGCTCTGGCTCTGGCGCTGGCGCTGGAGGAGGAATGGGGGCCGGGGCGGGAGCAGGGACAAGTCCTGGCAAACCTGCCAGTTTGCAAATGGCGCCTGCTTCCGCCTCCAGCTCGGCGGCCGGCTGCTCCCTGGCGGAATACAGCTGCTCCAATGGACGCTGCGTGCCGCTGAGCAAGTACTGCAACAACCTCAACGACTGCGGCGATGGCAGCGATGAGCCACGCTTTTGCACACGTAAGTACACTGCTACGCTACTCGTATCGTAGACTGTGCCGAAAGGCAATTATGTAAAACGGTCGGGGGCGGCATAATGAGAAACGAAGCTGCCAAATGGACTGCGAGAGGCCATTGTTTGCCCAATTTGGCAGGCGATTGATGGTAGTCAATGGAGGGAGGAGGAGCTCCTCCTCCCCACCACGTGGCAGGTGGACTTGGGTGGATTTCCCAATGGCAGGAGCTCCTGCACCTAGCTGTAATCAAGCTTGTCAAACCTTACAACTGTCCAGTAATCTCCGTCTGCGTCCAGTGCATTCATTCACGGCACGGCACGGCATGGCGTTGCAGGGCTGCCTGCTGCCTGCGCCCTGCTCCCTGTAAACATGGCCTTCATGTGTAAATGTAATTAAGGGCCAATCCGATTCCCCCCCCACGTCCTCACGGAACCCATTCACAGCAACCCACTGCCGCACCACACCCATTGGCCCTCATAATGGCGGCAAAGTGAACTTCTCACTTTTGCCAATTGGCTGCCTATAAGCCCCTCCCCAACTGCTCTTTCTGCTCCAATTCCCATCCATCCAATCCTCCTGCTACGCCTGCTACTCCTACTACTCCTGCTGCTGGTGTTGCTGCCGGGGCTGCTCCTGTCAAGCGTTGATGAATTTAATTAAGTATTTTTCAATGACATTCAATGAGGCAGCAGAGGTAGCAGGCCAGAGGGAGGCTGCTGTTGGCCGCTTCCCTTCCTGTCTGCCGTGTTCAATAAGGGCAGGCAGCGACAACTCGTTGGACTTTTTAATTGAACAACGAGCTTACCGAGAGAGGGTTTTTCAGTTTGTATTTGCCTGCGTGTGGCATCCGATTTTCAAATGCCAAATTCAATTCCCTAGCTTATTGCATCTATGCAGCAGATGGATCTTAAAGTGAAGCTCGTAAAAAGGGAATATTCCTTATACAAAATAGCTGTTAACAGTCAAATAGAAAGATACAATAGCTAGATCCAACAAATTTGAATACAAATAGAGTTATAGATGTGGCATTCACAGTTTTAGGAAACAACCAAAGTATATAACATTTGTTTATTAGTAGGAACTGGAGAGGCGAGTTAAGATACATTTATCACCTCTCAAAATTAATTAATATTAAACTAATTTTCCATTGTGGCCACATCTGGTTGCGGGTCAGTATCGTCCTCATTGTCGCCATTGTCGCCTTCGTCGTCAGGGTTTGAGGGGAGCTGAGGCTGAGCAGTAGCACCCATCTCTTTGGCCATTTCAATGTACTTCTCGACTTCCTCGGCGGTGAGCAACTTGAATATCTGATCCTTTCCGACTATGGCCACTGTGGTAGTGAATATAGCCGGTGCATTCTCCTGTCCACTCGAAGTCCCTTCAACTGGTTGGCTGTTCTGCAAGCCCAGTAGAGCATGACAAATCAGCTGATCGTCGGAACAGCTCAAGAAAGTGTTGATATTGCGCTCCAAATAGGTGCGAGCACCCTGCGAGTGCTCCCCAATGGACTGGGCCTGGCAAGTGTGGATGACTCCAGAGGGCATGACCTGATAGAGTTGAGGACCCGTCTTGTCATACCCGGCAACGAGTAGGTCCACTTGGTATGGACGGCCATCGCAGCGTTTGATGGTAGCCCGCATATTGCAGCCCAGACTCGCTATCAGTCTTTTCACTGGACAACCTGTCTCGTAAGTGTACCGATAGTTTATGCACGATAAACGCAAATAGCTGCTCAGCACACGGTCGTTGTCCGAGATGCCGTCAATGGATATGCCCAAGTGCTCGTCAATGGCGATTATCTTGCTCATAGCCACAGACGACTCCGATGCCGTGGTCAGGGCCACAAGAACAACAGAATCGCGACTCTTGACACCCACGGTGGTAAATCCCTGCTTTACGGCCTCCATTGCGTACTCAAACTTGATGCAAGCGTACCTGAGGATTACACACAGAGACATCGCTATCGTATTGGTTAAGGAACATGATTTCATTTACAACTTACCGTTCAACTATATTTTCGAAAGAATTCAAGATGAAATCAACTTTAGTTTGCAAATCGACTTCTAACCTCAACTTAAAATGCTGCCGATGATGACTTGGATAAAGTTCAGACTGGCACAGCACAGATGTTAATGTTACAGCAACGCTTTTCTACATACAATCGATAGACATATCGATATGTCTTAGCCGTTTCCCTGCTTTTGAAACAAGAAAATGAAGCAGGCCATATATAATCAAAATTAGATGATTATAATATTTACCAGAGGCCTTTTCAACATTTCCAGCGTATGTGCAATGCTCCTCTATTTTCCTTAGTGCTCTGGCAATTATAATAGCACTCACTAGTCCCGCCCCTAACTGGACAGACAGGCAAACCGGCAATCGAAAGGGAAGCGCGCCTACAGGCAGTTCAAACTAATACCCATAATTATCTAATTGACTATTGATGGCTTGAGCGCATATTAAATTTGATTGAATGCAGAGAAAGCACTAGACACTAAACTAAACGCAACAGACCATCGCCCATAGAATTAGCAATAAAATCGAATTGAATCATTTTCACTTTAGTCTCCCATAGATCCTTCTCTGTCACAGACAGAACCAGACCTTAGACCCAGCCCCTGCTCGATTCGTATGCATTTTTAATAAAACTAATTGAAATGCCTAAGGAGTCGTACGATGGAAGGGAGGAAGTGGACCACCACCACCACCACTTCTCTTGCCCGAGAAGCCAGCGGTAAATTGGCAATTTCCATGCAAACTATTGTACAATTGCATTCACTTTACTTTTGGGCTATGGTATCCAAGTGGGGACGGGACAACTACAACACCTAAAGGATGAGGGAAGAAGGAAAGAGCAGCCAGATTCCATAAATGCAAATCTCACAAGCATAAATCATTTCAGTTTGTGGTCATTCAATTATGAAAAGGAATTCCAAATAGGAATACGTAATCGAGTTAAATTGGGAGAAGTCTATGTAAATCGATTGATTTTTTTATGAATATGCTAAGTGGAGACTTAATTGGAAAATTCCTGGCATAAATGATCCACAAAGCCATCAGAATGCTGCAACACCCAAACTTTTAAACAACAGATTAAAAGCTAGACATTTCTGGGGAATAAAGAGGACAAATTATTCACAGAGTTGTCATCTCCCTTTGATAATCTCGTGGGTTGTTTTTTCAACGAATTAATATACAGTATGTCAAGAAACTCTTTACACACTGAAATTAAATTACATTTTTTGACTTTGGATAAGAAAATAATGGTCTTTGATTCAAATTTATCAAATTTTTTTAATTCATAACCATTCAGGGATTAATTATAAAGTAGTTAGTGAAAAAAAAATAACAAAACTATAACTAGGTAACTTACAAAACAACAAAAACAATGATTACTCATTTTTGACACTGTCAAGAAACTCTTTACACAAAATATTTTCATTTTTTAAATTCAAAATTCTTCGTAATTATTTAATGTATTTAACTTATTTTAATATTTGGTATGTCCTCCCTTAGCATTGACAACATGCTGGAGCCGTTTTTTCATCGAATTTATCAGTTTTTGTAGGTCATACTCAAAGGGAATCTTTTGCCACTCTTCCAGTATGAATTCTTTTAGCTGATTGCGGTTTTTGGGCTGTCTTTTCCCACTTTCTTCTTGAAGAAGGCTCACAAATTTTCAATGGGGCTAAGATCGGGGCTCTGGGGTGGTGTATCAATAACTTTTCCACAGTTGTAAAGCAGCCAAGCTCTCACATTGGACTCTATGTTTGGGATCATTGTCTTGATAAAACTTGAATTTGGCCATATTGTCCGTAATGAGCCCAAATTTCTCCGCACTGCTTTTTAAATTTGTTTTTAAAATTTGGAGGTACTGTTTGACATCCATCTATCTTCTTTTTACGGCCACCTCCAGATTTTGTTTCCAGTCTCCCTTCGTTCTTCGCGCGACTTAGGACATTGTAAATTGTTTTCCTTGATACTGAAAACATTTCTACCATGTCTGCAACAGATTTGCCCAACTGGTGATTATAGTAAATCAACTGGACAACGTCAAAGCTTAGTCTTTTGCCAGGCATTTTAAAAATTTCAGAAAGTTAGTCTGTAGATATGCACCGGTCAAAATTTCGCAACCAAATCAAAGTCAATGCAAAAATAGAGCAGCACTGAGCAACGCCAAAAGCATAGATTACGGTAAAGTCCCGTTTTTTCTAAGAACGAGATCAAAACAGAGCTCGAAAACGAAATGTGTAAAGAGTTTCTTGACAGTGTCAAAAATGAGTAATCATTGTTTTTGTTGTTTTGTAAGTTACCTATTTATAGTTTTGTTATTTTTTTTTCACTAACTACTTTATAATTAATCCCTGAATAGTTATGAATTAAAAAAATTTGATAAATTTGAACCAAAGGCCATTATTTTCTTATCCAAAGTCAAAAAATTTAATTTATTTTCAGTGTGTAAAGAGTTTCTTGACATACTGTATATAGCATCCAAAACCGTTGAAAAATACTAACCATGTATCTATGGCTATAAATTCCAACAATAGAATAATTAAAATTTAAAAACCATTTAAAGTCACGTTCTAATCATTTAAAAACATACAGTGCCTTATTTGAGGTTATTTTGATTATTGTGAATGTGATTGCGTGAATGTGTCAGCACCCCTACCCTATCCTATCCTAGACAAAAACATAAATAAAATACTAAGACAAATTTAAAAGGAAATAAATATAAAAAAAAACCAATGTTGGACATAATGTTCCCATTATGTATGACTAGTGAATATTACTAGTCGAAGCTCCGCTTGGGAGTCGGCCCTCGCTTTATATCTGGGACCCCTTTCTATCTCACTGATAGCCCCCACACATGGGCTTGCGTTTTCCAGCTTTTTCCACCACCTTTCCCGCAGATTTTCCTTTTATCTCCTTCTACACTTAGAACACGGGTTTTTTATAATTGAAAGAATTTGTTTCACTATTTTTCAAGACATTATACTCCACGCTAAAAATAAAACGTGCGCCTGCGCTGGAAACTTAGTACACTCCTATGTACATGCATTTGAGCATTTCTCGACACACGATTTAAATGAGCGCTTTGAATAATGGACCGTTGCGGGAACTAGGAAAGCTGTGATAAGGCTGCTGCAGCGTGTTCAGCTCAAAGCTCTTCTTAGAAATCAGACTTCGTTTCTGCTCGTCTTAACTACGGGAGAGATCTTAGTTCTCAGTGACAAGAACGATAGCGAAAGCTTGATTGGTACAAGGTGGTCCGCTCCCGCAACGCGATGTCTTTTGCTCAGTACAACAGCAGAGCATCAAAGCGCTCTCAGTAGATCACGTCATTAAAGCTGTGAAAGGAGTACAAGAGCGTTGGCGCACAAATAGGGTGGTGAGAGGGGTGCAGCTGAGCAGCTAAGGCGAGTCAAAGCTCGGCTTGCAGATCGGGACTTCGTTTTCGCATGATTTCCCCTATCTATCTCACAGCAAAGAACGACAGCGAATGTTTTTGGCCGGGCAAGAGCATAGTTGTTTTGCTCACAGAGTTAATGTAGGTCAAGGCCTCTTTTCACTCTCGTTTTCTTACGCTGTTAGTTGGCTGCTAAATTAACATGCCTCTTCCCTGTAACGCCAAAAAAGAATTTGTTCTTGGCTGTTAGTTCGCTGCTAAATTAACATGCCTCTGTAAACTGTGGCGCTGATAATTTTCCGTGGAGTCACGTGTTTTTCAAGGTTATAACCGGATCAATCTGATGTAATTACTGATGGCCTCCAAGTTTTTGGTATAAAGTAAATGTTATGTTAATTTGTTACTTGGTGCTGTTCGTTCCCTGTGGATGATTTATGGCGTGACAATTGCCAGACTATTCCCCGTGGCGCCTCATCAACGAGAAACCCGCTAGAGGTGGAGGTGGAAGTGTACATAGGTGGGGGGGAGCCTCTTCCTATGAAGCCAATGGCGAATAGTGGCGAAGAGATATCCCTTGGTTGCGTTGTGGTTGCCTGGCAGCGCGGCAAACAAACTAATTGCCAAACTAACGCTAATTGCATTTAATATATTTGTGTCTCCACTCCACTCCACCCACCCACAGGCTGTAATCGCACATACTACGGAGATATAGGACAGACGTACTCCTTGGAGCTGCACCGACCCAAACAGGATCGCGTGCCCTTTGTGTGTGTTCTCACGTTCACGGCGGCAGGTGGCCAACACGGCGACGTGGTGCAGGTGAGTCACAGTCCCAGTCCCAGTCCCCAGCTCCATTTCATTCTACTGCTGCCACCGATGCTCCTCTGCTCCTGCAGCTACCCTTCACATTTCATTTTGTAAACGAGATAAACTAAGCCATTAAAAGATAAGCAACAACAATGAAGGTGGGGCTCAGAGCCGGGCACAGGCAATATTGATTTCAAAGCCAATCGCTGGAGCGTTGCAAATCCTACACCGACTCCGGTCCGGTCCGAGGTCCCAGCAGCACAGAAGCCCAGCAGCACAGCAGCCAGCAGCCAGCAACCAGGCGTGACTTCAACTGACAGGGCAGTGGCATCATCCTCCCTCCTCCTTCTCCTCCTCGTTGGACTGGCAGGAAGCAAGTGCCGCCGCCTGTTAGTTATTACGCCACTTCACACCTCGAATCTCGAACTGGGAGCGCGGGGAGAAGCAAGAGGTGGAGATGGAGCTGGAGCCAGTAAGCCAAAGCCTTTGGCACGCTCGAGTGCGTCCCGAGGGCATTCATTGAGAGAGCCCTGCCCCTGCCCCTGCCCCTGCCCTGCCCTGCCCTGATCTGGCCATGACCCCACCCTGCACTGATATACTTGTACTCGGACCGAAACTTTATTCTGAGTACTCGCGTACCTCCTGCCGTCCCTCCAAATATTTCATTGTGCGAATGCTGTGCTGTTCTCTCCCTTCGTCGAACAGGTCACCCTGGACAGCTTCACGATTGGCAGGTTCACCTCCTACGTGCACGAGGGCTGCCCGGATGGATATATGCAGATAGCGGAATCGGCTCGCACCCCCATCGGGGGCATGTGGTGTGGCAGCTCCTGGGGGCCAGTGCTCTTCTACAGCGAGACGCGCTCCCTCATCTTCACCATCAAGCTGAACAGGTAGGTCCTCGTAGGTCTTGGCCACCATGGTTTCCTTTGTGACAACGAACCACGAACGACTCCTTCTGTGTGTCCTTTTTTTGGCAGACTGGCGAGGGATCAAAGCGGCTACAACTTCGACTTCCGCATTCGATACAAGGTTCTGTCGCGGGACAGTGCTGTCACCCGCTACGGAGGGATTAAGCTGGCAGGTGGGTGTTCGCAAACAGAGACAAGATTGGATGCGAATCCCTAATCCGCTCAACTCCCATCCAATTCCCTTTCAGAGCTCGCCCAGTGGCACAACCGCAGCAGCTTCCTCAATCAGCAGCAGCAGCAGCAGCAGCAGCTGCATCAGCAACAGCAACAACAACAGCACCAGCAGGATGGCGGTGTCTTAGAGGACTTTACCAACTCCAGCGGCGCCCGTTCGGATCGGTATGGACAGGACTTTAGCCTGTTCAGTGCGTATGTGAACAACAAGACCTTCATGGCATCCCTGGAAAAGTCGCTGGCCAAGGACGAGCAGAACTACACCGAGCCCAAGTACTATCTGGGTATGTTGCAAGAGAGAATAGTGTTGGCTCGATCCACCGGATAACATCTCTCTCTTTGACACACAGGGGATCTCATTCCGGGCACTTACTGCTCGAGGATCTTCAGTGACTGCGACAAGAAGTCCTGTCGCCTGCAGTCGCCCAACTACCCAGGCATCTATCCCCGGAATCTGACCTGCTACTATGCCGTGCGCCAGGTACGAACCAAAGAACAATTAAAAGGAAATTAAACTCTTATCCCGGTCCCTGTCCCTGTCCCTGTCCGTGTCCCTGCCCTGTCCCTGGCTCCAGACTCCAGGCCCGCGTCTCCTGCGGTCACCAAGGAGTCAGAGACCCGGCTCCTGTTCCGCCTCTATGGTATTACCAAGGAGCCAAAGCCAAAGGTTGGCCTGTCATCATGGCCCAGACATCTCGCCAGCCTCTTCAGCGCATTAAAGCGCCCGGGCTTATCCTTCGTTCGTCCTGGACCCATAAAAATACCGCAATATCGTTTACGTCTGTCGCCCCGTGTAGCCCCCCTCCAAACGCTCGCTCTCTGCCTTACTTTTATTCATGCCACAACAAAGTTCAAAAATCAAGAGAGGAAAAAATTAAATAGCAATTTACATTCCAAAATAGAATGGAGCTTTTATTATAATTAACTGGGGGAGCGGGAGACCGAGACCTCCGACCCGCCTCCCCTCGGTTCTGCCTGGCGTTTTTTGTTTTTTTTTTTTTTTAATATCTCTCTGCCCGGAGCCTCCTCCTGCAGGGACTCGTTGCCATTGGCATTGTGACGGGTGTTCCTTCTCCAAATTTACATCATTTTTTATTAGCTGTTGAACTTTTATAGAACATTTTTTGGGTCTATCCTGGCCATGGACATGCAATATTTGTAGCAAATTTATGAACACAATGAACTAAAATACCCGTAATGAATATTACGCGGTGCCACATCAAAGTCAAACATAAGTCGGGCTTATGATAAGTAAAAAGTGCGAAAGTTTTTGTATTCCTGGAAAGGAGGAGTAAATGTTCGACTTTCGAGTACATTTAAGTATGGCTCAGACAGAGGCCGTGTTTCCGGGGGTACATATACCCATACATATAGAATTCAACATAAATTTAAAGTCCCATTGAGTAATAGAACAATCAGCTCCTTCCGTTTAAAAATCTAGGTAGTGGATGCCATTTGAATGTTCCAATTAATCCTGCTGTTTTATCTCTGGGCATCCCGACAAACATTGCGCCGTGTGAAGAGCAGTTCGTGGCTCATTAATTTGCATTTAATTCTCCTGTCCACACAGCACGACGTGCCCCATGGCAAACACGCTCTGATTCTAGTCAAACAGCCCAAGGGCAATCTGGTGTGGATCTCTACCCAGGAAACGGCGGCGGCCAACAAAATGGCGCCACCGCCCAGCGCCAGTGACAAGGACAAGAAGTTTGAGCCGAGGCTGAAAACATGGAACGACTGCGATTACATTCAGGTAATTAAATCTGCCTTTAAATGCACCCTCTCTCTCGCTCTTTTTGGCTCTGTTTTTTCTCTATCTCTCTGTATCTGTATCTGTATCTGTATCTGTATCTCTGACTGTCTCCCACTGTCCCTGTTCATGCTCCTGCTCCGGGGTGTTCCCTGCCCGATGAGCTTCTCTGTGTTTGCATTTGCCAACTTTAACGAGAGATCCAGCATAAAAATTACTTCCTCTGTTGGCCACTGGCCGGCAAACAGAGCCAACTGGACAAACGGGTCCAACTGAACCCGCTGGACCGACGCCTGGCCAGGCAGCGGGAGAACGAACTGCGCAAAAAACGACAAATTGAAAATGAGAAAAGAAATGAGCAAAAATCTGAAATCAGTTGCTTGCACGGTGTACTCCCCCCCTCCGCCTCCCTCTCTCCCTCTCTCTCTATCTCTCCCGCTCTGTTTCCATATCCTTTCCCGCTGCCATTGTGTGGGTCCACGTCCACGTCCTTGTCCATATCCATGTCCAAGTCCAGTCCAGTCCGTCGCTCCATCCCACAGTGCCTTGAGCATTCGATAGGCTTCTCTGGCAAGTCGCGGGAAGTGTTAATTTCGTAGGCTCTTTTTGTTTGTCAGCGGGAAAGCGGAAAGGGGGAAAGCGGAAAGCGGGATAAAATGGAGGGAGTCCATAAAGACCCCACAGTTGGAAGGGCCAACTTTTGGATGAGCTCTTAATGAGCGCTGTGTATGCAAAATGTGGGATAAGCCTGGATGACAGATGAGAGAAGATGCACCGAAAAGGGATGTGCTTGGGTGGAAGTGTTTCCTGGAGAGACTCCAGGAAGCCTGATTTAATGATAATACTCAAATGATGTTAAAAATTAAGGACGAACTGAAAGGATCTGCTGAAATGGGGCAAGAAATGCAAGAAAAAAGGATACAGATCTCTGAGAGATGAATAAGCCTATGGGAAATAGTGGAATTTAATAGGTTGGTCCCCCCAAAAAGTACTCAAACTTCCACTCACTCAAATATCTGCTCTTTTCAAAATGGGGGAAAACTATATTAATTCAGATTACTCTTTGGCCTTAAAAGGGGAAAGAATTTCGAAACTATTCAAACACCAGAGAACGTTCTTCCCTTGGGTAAATCCGTGTTAAATTTCCTTTGAAATTGGGGGAACAGAACTTGTACATAAAATCTGCAGCCTGCTCTTTCCCTGCACCACCCCCGGCCCCGGCAGGCTGCCCCAGAACTGACTCTGCGCCGCAGTACAACGCTTCTCTATTGAACCACACCTCATTTCGTCAAAATGCACCAAAACTAGAATCAGATCTATGTACTACTCGTATATATGTATATGAATGCTATAAGTACCTACCTATAAATGTATGTATATTTTCTCCAATAGGAAAGTGTTAAGCCCAGATGGAAATCGACGGTAAATGCCAACTAAAGAACAAACACTGCTACTGCTCGCCCAGTCAGAATCAATCTATCTCTCATGTTGCCACCAAACCACGAAACAGCCAAGCAATAACTTAGTTGTAGTTTTAGATAGACAGCACTTGAACTCTGACCCACCACCGACACCACCCCATCTCCCTCTCTCTCTCTCCCTATCTCTCTGTGCCCTGTATTCCACCCTCTATCTTCTATTAGCAACAATTATTTGTCATCTTTGGCTATTTGAAGCAATTAATCAACCGAAATGTATGCACAACCCCTGCCCCCTCCACCCCGTCCCCCCGCCCACAAAGTAGAACAGAACCCACAGAAACCAGGCAAACAGACGACAAATCAAAAATGATCTGGGTAAATCGACATCTATGGGATATCTATGGACTGGATAATATATTCATTAGCACAGCACACACACACCCAACGCACACACACACACGCGCACAAAGACAGCGATGGGGCATGGGGGGAAAAATCTGTCATTGGATTTATATTAATGAACACTTGGCACGCACATCATAAATCGCACACAAAGAGACGGTGGATTGGGGGATTGGGGATTTTGCAGGATAGCAGGATAGCTGGATGGTTGGACGGCTGAATGGCTGAGTAGCTGGATGGCCCTCATCAAGGACATTAGGAGAGTGGACGAACGTGCCCGGGTCTCATGTAAATAATTGCCCCGGGCATTCATCATATACTACATATAGTACATTCATCGCATACATCTGCTCTCTGCTCGTAAACAGCTCGGGAGCACGCTGCAATGAATGGGTATGCCACTGCTGATGGATTTACCCACTTCCGGGCTGCGGGTTTTTCCCATTCAAAGTTCTTTAAGCTGATCCGCCACAGCAGTCAAAGACATTCCACCTCCAGCTCCAGCTACAGCTACAGCTACAGCTCCAGCTGCACTCCCCCTTTCGGTGTCTGTCTGTTTGTCTGTCTGTCCCTAAAACGTTTTAACGAGAGGAGGAATGTTGCTTTTAGTTTTCGTCCATTTAGTCATCAGCAACTATTCAATTTCGCTTTGCAACAAAATCCTCAAGGATTCAAGGATCCTGCCCTCTGAAATGGGAACTAATTCCCCCTTAGCACTTGCCATTAAATGCTCGTTGTGGCAGCAAGGCGTGCAAATCCCCTGGCCAGAGATTGCCACACTCCACACCGGATCTGTGCCTAGCCCGGCTAACCCCTTTACTTTTTGCTTATTCAGTTGGAAAGCAAACCGCTCGGACATTGGCGCCATTTGCAGGGATTGCATGGCTCTAGTGCTGGTCCTGGCCCTGAGCCTGCACTTTGCCTACAAATTGTCCTCCGCTTCCCATTTACCAACAGTCTTTTTTTTTCTTTTTGCTGCTCTTTTTGTCGCGCGCTCTTAAGCCAAAATGTCCAAAAGTGCTGGCCATTTTGGTGCGGCATGTGTGAATAATCGCCGGATGGTAGGACCACGACGAGCATGAGAATAGAAACCCAAACGAGTAGTCGCACTAGTGGAACCTGCTCTGATATATGGCCCCCCAAACTGCCGTGCATCTGTGTCTCCACTAATTTGTACGAATGCCGCGCTTTCAATAAATTTGTGGTCGCAAATTACCTGCACAGGCCCCCAACCCCCCCATCGCCCATCCCCCCGCCTGCCACGGGCTACCGTTCTGATTCTGAATCTGGTGGTCTGTGGTCCGGGCCATAGTTAAATTTGCGGCCAGCTGCACAAACAAACCAGAAACCTCAGCTAAATTAATGCAGAAAGTCGCTGGCCACAAAACTAATTTGTCATGCGTTGGGCCAAAGGTAGGAAATGCCCCAAGCCCATTGCCATTCCCATTACCTTTTGGATACAACGTCCTACGCCCACGTGGCCTCCGTGCCCCACGCGGCAAGGCCAACTCAATTAAAATGCGCACAATTATGCGCAAAAAAGCCAAAGCCAGCCGTAACTGCACACAAATTCGAGTAGGAATGCCCAATGAGAGTTTATGCGAGCTACAAATTCAGGTATTCCCTCATTCGCAGATTGATTTGCATAGGGTGGCTGCTTCAAAATGAGGATGTACATTTTTAGGGAATGAAACTATTTACACTCTGAAAACTCTTTCGAATAAGTACTCGAATAATTTTTACACGAAATCCTGCAGTCCATTATACTAGAAATACACGTGCTTGCGGGCTTTTAAGAGCACTTTCGGCACTCTACCTACTGTCTTTTCCCAAAAAACTGTACCCTTTTAATAGCTCACACCCCTCCCCCCGACAGGACACTCTCAGCACTCGAAAACACGTGAACACAACCGCATAAACACGTAGCCTCATGCTTAAAACAAACTTTAAATGAGCTTAAAATGTTCGACATTTAGTGGACATCAAGTGGCCGGACACATCAAAGCCATTGTGCTCAACTACTTAGAGGCAGCACTGCCTTGACCATTTCCCCACCATCCTCCCTAGCCCCCTACGACGGCAATGGCCACAGGAATGTAACCAAAAATCACGTATACGTCCAGTGGCCATTAAGTAATACGAGAGCACTGTGTTGCCAGCTGCACTTAGGTCCACTTCTTTACAGCAATTACCGTTCTCTTCCGCACTCCGCCCAGCCCCCAAGCCCTCCCCGTTTTTTTTTTTTTGGCTATGCACGGCCTTCGGCATCAGTTACTAGTTAGTGCCTCGCCCCTGCCACTCTTCCACATGAGGGGGCACACAGGCACACTGTGCACCCAGCAAAAAACACCCACATTTGTCGCTCGTCTCACTCATTTCGTTCTCTCCTCATCCACTCTGCTCTCTCTCTCTCTCTCTTTCTCTCTCTTTGTTTGTATCCATCTCCGGCTGTGTTTTTCCTGGTCTCTGGCACCCGCAGGACTACGTGACCGTCTACGATGGCTACACCACACGTGACCCCATCATATTGAAGTTCTGCGGCGGAGGTCAGGCGGTGCCGGCGGCCGTTTCCAGCGGCCCGGAATTGTTGGTCGAGTTCAGCACGTCCCCGTTTGGCACCTTTACGGGCACCTCATCGCAGGTGCTGCCACTCTACGGATTCCAACTGGAGGTGAGAGCTCTCCCACCATCCGCCCAGCGACGTGTTAATCACTCTCGTCGTGCCACACACAGGTCGAAGTTCAGTTCGTGGACATCCAGAGCCCCACGTACTCGAAGAACAAGAAACCCTGCGAGTTCTGGATCCGCGGCGCTGGTCGCGGCATCCTCGAGAACCCGAAGCACTCGCTGGCCCCCAATTCCACGTGCCTGTACCACCTCCAGGGCATGGGCGTCTTCAAGACCTTCGACCACCTGAGCCTGTCGCGTCGCATCAACAGTCAGTCGGGTATGCACCAGCCCCTGTCGCGCTTCAAGGTCTGGATATCTGTGCTGAAGTTCAATCTGGACCCGGAGTTTGGTCAAATGGATGAGACATCCGTGGGTGCCATTGGCGTGCTGCAGACCCAGGAGGACTGCAGCGGAATGCTGCGCATCTGGGATGGCACACTCAGAGATCCGCCCGTATGCAAGGACCTCAACTGGTGAGTACTGCTGGGCTGCTGCTTCCCTCTGGCCCCAATCTAACCGGACTCTAACCTTCCAGCGTTACGGAAACCAATAGCTACAACACTGTCGGGCATTACGCCCACAATTCCACCAATGTGATTGCCCGATTCTGTCGTGGCACGATTCCGCGCACCTGCGACCGCTCCAACATCAACGAGACCTATGCCAGACCCTGCACCATCTCCGAGAGCTACGTTTCCAGCAACGATGCCATCACCCTGGAGCTGCGCAACACCGAATCCACAGTGTTGAGGTGTGTATACTATATTTATCCACTGCTACTCGACTCTTCATCTCTTCGACTCTTCTCTTGTTTTCTTCATAGACCACTGGACTTCAAGCTAAAGTACGAGTTCATTGACCTGCACCAGGACGGACTGCCATGGGGCGGCGGGGAGCACGACTGCAACAGGAAGTTTCTCAGCAGCATGATGGACCGCAAGGACCCAGCGATCTTCCGCAGTGTCCGCAACATCTTCCTGTTTGGCAGGGGCGGCACTCGCCACCTGAAGTGCATCTACAAGTTCGAGGCGCAGCGCGGCGAGAGGGTGCGTATCAAGCTGCGGAAGGTGACGACCACCAATCGGAACTGCTACTCGCGGCTGGACGAGGACATCAATCGATCCTTCTGCTACGGAGACACCAATGTCAGGATTGAGGTAGAGTCAGCGCGGGGATAAACCTATTCCAAGGGACCTCTTTTCAAAGTCTGTGTGTGTCCTTTGCAGATCTTTGAGCGACCCTATCACGACTCGATTCTGCTGCATCGTGGCTGTGTCTGCAACTCCTCGAATCAGTCCCACCTGCCCGTGGAATACACATCGACTGGACGCGATGTGGAGGTCCACTTCGTTGCCCAGAACATGACCACACTGGACGACCCGGACACGGTGAACTTTGAGGGAATGTTTGAGTTTGTGAAGGCCCCTACAAGCTGCAAGGATGGACGGCGCAAGTTCGGCCCCAGTGGCACCATAGACATGACCTTTGGCGATGTGAGTGTAGAACATCTCCGGCTTATAGCTTGGTTTATCCGAATGATCTACTTCCAGGTTGAATGCCGCTCCAGACCCTGGCTGATTGAGCCCTCGAATGGCAACAAATTCCTGTATGTGCGCCTCAAGGCCATCTTCCTCAGCAAATACAACCCCACAAAGACCCTGAACTCGACCTACCTGCAGACGGACACCTGGCGCTGTGAGACCAAGTCGAGGGCTGTGCTAACTACATCCGAAGGTGGGCTATCCAATCATTGCGCCCACGACATCGCTTAAATGCATCTCGTTTCCAGGTCTGACCATTGTGGCCTGTCCGCTCAGCCCCGACTCGAACGGCTATGAGTTTGTGGAGATTTACAGCTCTGGCTGGAACGAGCGACCCAACTTTGCTCTCGTGAATCGGTCCAGGGCCATCAGCGTGGAGTTCTTGCGCCCTGGCAATGGGGAGTACACCTTCAACTGGATGGAGCTGGTGCCAAGGCCCACTCTAAGCATGGCGGGTATGCAGGAGTCATCCGACTTTCCGTCCCATTGAATATTCCTCAATTCCGTATTTTGTAACCCCTCAGAGGACTGCCAGTTCAAGTGCCCGGAACTAGGGGCCTGCGTGAATGCCAGCGTCTGGTGCGACGGCGTCATCCACTGTCCCTCGGGCGACGATGAGGCCTTCCTGCAGTGCTCGGCACTGATGAAGCTTCCAGTTGAAATTCTGGCCACGCTCTGTCTGATCTTTGTGCTCTCGTGTTGTGCATTTGCTGCTTTTGCCTACAAGTAAGTCGTTGATCAACATTGATTGTGATCTGATCTGATCTGATCTGATCTATCAATCCTTTTCAATCACAGGAAAATCAAACGCAAATTCCGCGGCTCATCGGTGCTACAGACGCGCCTCAAGTCGCTCAGCTCCATGGACACGGCCGTGCTGGATGAAAAGGAGGTGATTTGCTGACAAAGCGACAATTCTGTGCGTTACGTTGAGATCGATCGTGTGACCACGGTCTGATGCTCGACGGCCCCTAACGTACAGAATTGTGCCCCGGAACTGAAACCCAAAGCAAATGCGAAACGCAACAATGAAACGATCAAAAACAAAAACAACAAAAACAAAAAACAGGCCACCACTCGTATCTTGAAATCAAAATCAAAATCAAACCAAAAACCAATACCAGAATCAAAATCAGCATCAGACTCGTTCACCTGTTTTTTAAAATGCATTTATAAGAAAGTGAAATCCCGCGAAGAAACGGAAAACCGCAACAGATCGATCGCCACAGATTTCGTTGGTTCTCTATTTGTATTAATCTCTGTTTTATACCATATAGATCGCGAGACTTCCGGATCGTGACTGGATCGTGTTTCGTTTGTTTTTTGTATTGTCGCGCAATTTTTATAAGCAATTTTCTAGGCCTAGGATTTTTCGTATGTATTTTCGATATGATTTCCAGACCTCTGATCCTCTGACACACACTGTACATACCAAACGATTGCGGAACAGACAGGACGGACCCGAACGGACCCGGCCGGACTGGACTCTGATCAGTTACAACTTCCACTAGGTTTGTGTCTTTGGTTCTTGCAGAGTACTCATAGACCTATGTAGATACAACTGTTTCCTAATAGACTTTAAGTGTATCGTCGTACTATGCTAATCCATAACTGACTAATCGGAAAGGAGAAGAGGATCGGATGATCATCAATGGGAAGGAAGAAGCGTAGTTTTTTTTTGGGGAATGTTCCAGAAACTCCCACAGCATTTATTATGCGGCGCACAAGAAGAAAATATAGAAAAGAAGAAACCATAAATAAAGATAATTAATATACCGAAAGGAGCAAGCAGATGGGAGGAAATTTAATCGACAGCTCCAAGTAGATCGTAAGTGAAAGTGAAAGTGAAAGTGAAAGTTGAGGATGTTTTACATTTTAAGATTGATGGATGATGCATCGTAAATCGTAAATTAGTCGCCAGGTTTGAGGTGGATCAGAGATAGAGTGAGGTGGAGGATAGTCGAATATGTCAATATATATAGAAGCTAGATGAATTCGTTAGTTGTTTAATAGACGTTGTAGTGATCATGGATAATATCAGCATAATCAAAGCTAAATCAAAGCTAAAATCAAAGCCAAGAACTTAGAGGTAGTGCGTCCGTCGTAATCGGAGTGTAGCCAAGTCGAAGTCGAAGTCAAAGTCAAAGTCAATGTCAATGTCATTCTCAAATCACGCCCATTGCTGTCTTTCAATAGTGCACTGTTCGCTCTCATAGACCAGACATGCCCACATCATCTAGCGCCTGCTCCCTCACACCAAAAAAAACCAACTCAAAACCAAATCAAAATCTTATGCATGGTAATCCTCGTCTCGTTCTCGTTGGCCCGGGACTTAATCGAATCCTTTTCTATTTTGTATTCTTTCTTTGAATATTCTTTTTTTGTGTCAAAGAAAAAGGCCGTCGTTGAGACCAAGATCTAAGGCTTGGGGATCAAGGGAGAGAGCAAGGCAAAGCCATATGCCCGGCCGGGCGAAAGGAGGGAGCAGGGATCAGGGACTCCAAAGAGGCAACACAGAGAATGAAATCAATCTCTGCAGTTGAAAATGCATTTTGTTGAAACTCTTTCTTTCCTTTTAAGAACTGTAAATAAAGTCGAATAGAAGCTGTATGATATTAACAATTTTACATGGAGCGTTTTATTTCCATTACAAACAAAATCATTCTACTACGAGTATCCTTCTTCCGAACTCCTTGAGTTGCGCTCGCAAATAGTGAACATCTTTTGATATTCGAATCAAACTCAGACAATAAACGTTGAAAGTCCTTTCTTTGTGGCTCAGAGGAACCGAACCTCTTTTTCCCCCTCCCCCTTACTTATAGCGAACGTAACGAGAACAGCAGATACATAATTTTAGGATATCGTCAGATCTGTGGATGATCTGCCGACGAATACATTCAAGCGTAAAGTAAATAAATAATATACATTATTAAACCAAACCTAAAGCTCAACTATTAAACTAATTAACTAAAATTAACTAAAGATTAACCAAGATCTACCAAGTTATTAGCAAAACTGCCCGAATTGAAACAATTTTGTCGTAACCTTAGACTTAGCGAACGCGATCGATATTTGTGCTGATCTTGAATCCAAATATGGATGGATGAGAATTAGAATTTTAAATTTTAAATTAGTTTAAATCTAAAAATTAACGGATAAACACGGAACACGATAAACCAGCATGACTAAAATTCAAATGTTGCAAAAAAGAAATCATATCAGATTCTAAAATGATATTAAAATTAAATCAAAAACTGAACAATTTAATAAACAAGCATTTAAATCCCCCAAACAACTGCACGAGAACATTATTTCACACCCCATCCCCAAACTCTTTACAGCGAATTGGAATACAAACATACATAAAACAGAACATGCCCTCACGGACGCTATACCAGGATGGGATTCATTGAGAAAGTCGATTCAATCTTTCAAGTACGTGGGGAACTGAGTGTCGTCTGAGGTCGGCGCTGGTATGGTTACCCCGCCCGTGTCCACGGCTGGCTCATGTGGCATCGAGTCGACGCTCTCCAACGGCATGAAGCAATCTGCAGATATCTAATGATACACTTTAAAGTAAACCCTTAAAAGACGATAGACATTCTATACTATCACCCACCTCGTTGTTCTTGTCGCTTAGCTTGCGCGGATACTTAAAGCCAGCGGCCCTTGCGGCATCCATGGAGTCTTCGCAGTTGGTAATCAGCCCCTGGCGATGATCCTGCTTGTGTGCCTGCAGTCGCTTTGCGTTAATCGAGGTGTAGCTGCAGAGATCGCAGCACAGATCGCGGTAGGCATCGGCATGGTTCATTCGCATGTGGCGCTTCAAGGCATTGGCTTGGATGCAGCCGTAGTCACAGTGACCACACTTCAGGGTGCTCTGCTTGGAGGCGCTGCCGTGGCGTTGTCGATGCTTGTGCAGGACACTGGGATCTCGCGTTGAGAACTTGCACTGTTCACACTGCAGCGGCTTCTCGCCCGTGTGCTGACGCATGTGGATCTAATGAATGGTAGAGAGTAAAATGATAATGCTCCGGGCAACCATGGGGTACACTCACTATCAGGCTAGCCTTGCGCGCCGTCTTCTTGCCACAAACATTGCATATAAACGGCTTTATCTTGTTGTGCACCGTCTTCACGTGCTTAGAGAGCGTTTTGCCATTGACAAATCTCCGATTGCAAATCTCGCAGGTCTTCTCAGCATAGTATTTGTTCTTATTTGGCGTTGCAGTGGTCGCTGTTGGCTGAGACGGAAGCTCGTCGGACTGATCCTTCAGTTTCCGCCGTCGCTGGACAGCTGCGAGGGAGCGGAGAACCCTCGAACGCCACTTCTTGTGCACTCGCATATGTCGCCAGACGAGCGCCGACACAGGTGCGTTGTAGGTGCAGTCCAGAGCGGGACAGCGTAGCAAATCCACATCGATTTGATGAACTTTCCACAGGTGGGCAGAACAACGCCTCCAGTTTACCATCTCCAAGCCGCATTCGCAGCAGGCGAAACTGCTGCCCTTGTGGCATCTACGATGCACCTCCATCTTGCTGGCATCCTCGAACTTAAATAGGCACTCCTTGCTCGCGGAACACCTAAAAGGGAATGGCATTCGATTAAAGATTGGAGGACGGACTCTTTGGACACTTACGGCACTCGCATATTGGCACGCAGCACGAGTCGAAAGTCCTTAAATGGCATCGGCTGCAGATCTGTTGGTGGCGGGGCTGCAATCTCTACTTGATTTTCATTAGTTTTCTTCTCCAGGGTGCACCTGGAGGCATTCGATTCTGCCTTTGTTGGTGTCTTTACTGCTTTGTTGCCGGCAACTGGCTGACAGCCATGGTAAAAGACCATATGACCACGCAAGTCCTCCATTAGATCGTACTGACGAAGGCACAAGCTGCACACAAACACGATGCGATGCTGGACCTCCATGTCTTCCTTAATTAAATAATAAATAAATAATTGCGTATTGTTTGGCTTCAATCTCTTGTTTTGTTCGTTAAATACACGGTAAATACACATTTGCTACATGTCAACTACATATTTATGTAAAAACGTAAGTGTTGTAGGAATGCTAAGACTACTTTTTTCTCTTTATCTATGAGTATAGACATTTGTATACCCCATTTATTTTCTTTAATTTATCGCTCAGGCTCCGGGTTTTACATACTTTTGCATTTTAAACCGAAACGTTCCGTCTTCGATTTGAGGTGCTTTTCCGTTTTGATTTGTTTGATTTTCTCATGTCCTGTTAGGCGCATTATTTAGTGCTGTTAAGAGCATCCAAAGTATCGATAAGCATATCGTGCTGCATCAGCTGTTAGCACGAAAATCTAAAGTACTGTTGCCCTGTCAATTTATTTGGAAGCTAAATTTTAGGTTGGGTAAAAAGAATTATTTTAAAAAAATAGGTCAATAGGTCATTTTTTTTCTTGTGCACTTAAGAATTCGTTTTTTTGTCGAAAAATCGGTTTTTTTGGCAGGGAAAATATTTCCGTTTTGAAAACGTTTTGGAAAAACGGGAGCACCAACATTTCCGTTTTGAAAAGGAAATCGGATGATTCGGATATATCATGGATGAGGATTCAGTTATACCCTTACGGCTCCCATAATTGTTGATTTTTTCTGTTATATGTATATGCACTACCTTTTATTTTTGCGGGCTATTCACTCGATATTGCAAATACTTAATTTCTTCATTTCAATGAATTTCAGTTCAAAAAACTGCTTAACAGTTCCACTAAGGCAACGTTAGGTGCTCCATACAGTGAACATCACTGGTGGGTGGCTAAAAACTTGTATGTACATGTACTATGTACATCTAAATATAATTTGATATTGTTTTGTACTTCATGTTGGCCGCGGTGCAATGGCTTTACTTTTGTATATACACGTATCCTATCACAAACGCAGTCTTTGCTGTTCCTCGTCGCTGGACTCGGCACCTCGTGCCGCTCAATCGAGAGCGGCAAACTCATCGGTATAGGCGGCCTTCAGGTCGGAGTGAGTAGAGACCGGTATGGCCGAGGACTTGGCCTTCAGGCGTAAATTGGCATCATTTGTCAGGAGTATCATGTGGGGAACTTCTTTTTTTAGCTGAAGGCAGCAGTTGACAACGCTATCATCACCACAATCCACTTCAATTAGGTGTTCCGACTCCTCCTCGGCTGATTGCGCTGATTAATGAAGGAAATACCTATACGTTAGCCAGCAGAAAAGAACATCTAGATGGACTCTCACCTTGTATTTCCAGACTCTCATCAAATTTTGTGTTTAAAAAGCGAATGGCACGAATAGCCATCTGGCGCGTATTATTGTCATCATTTTTTCTGGCCTTGAGCCTGTCCAGCTCCTTGATAACTATATAGGGAATAAACAGCATGCTGCCCACGGTTCCAGGCAGCACAACTTTCGTAAGATCCTCCACAAATGAGCAGCTGTGCATGAGCACATTTGTGTCGAGGACAAAGTACATGTGATCCAACCGACGAGCCGGCAGTTCATTCAACTCGCCGTCCTCTGATTTCTTGTTTAGTATCAGATCACAGTCTTCCCAATCCATCGGCTCTGGCTCCAACTCCAGGTCTGGCTCTGGCTCTGCTACCTTCGGCTTTTTGCCTATAAATGCATTCGGAATATCTGGCAGTATTGAACGGCCATTATTGTTCCGCTCTTTGGGCTCCTGCTTCTCCTGTTGCCTTAAGGAAGCTCGTAATTGCGTTAGACGCTGGTTGGCTGCACGTGAGAATATAAAAAGAAAGAAACTCTGGATGAGACGGGCAACGAAGAAGCAATTATTCACAGCACCTACCACTTGTCGAGCTGCCCGATTGAACACGATTGCTGGAATCCAGCAGCGCCTTGGGTTTTTCCCAGGTTTTTGCCTGATCCCTGAGGCGCTCTCGTATAGATTTCGCTGGTGCCAGCGGTGATTGCGACAGTCCAAGGAAATTTGACCTGCGACTCTGTGGCGTGTCTGGTGTTTGTGGCGATGGCGATGGCGACGATGCAAACGCATTTGATCTGCGACTCTGTGGAGGGCGTGGCGTCTCTGGTGATAGAGATGTTGCGAAGGTTAAACACTTACTACTTTGTGACGAGCGTGATGTTTCTGGTGTTAGCGATGCCGATGGCGACGGTGCGAAGGTCAAGGACCACCGACTATGTGAGGCACCTGAAGTTGCATTACTGCTGATGGTCTGGGAGGCTGACGACAAGGCATTTTGATGGCTTCTCTTACTGTCCTGGTTGTCATTGTTTGGTTTCTTATCCTTCCGACGCTTCAAGTCTATCTGCAATCGCTTAAGACGATTCTGAGCTGGCTGTTTGTTGGTGGGCCTTGCTACAAACCGAATGATTACTTTGCAAATGTAACAAAAGAATCAATTTACGACTTACCATTGCTCTGGCGATGATTGTAAATCGTTTGCATAGCTTCGCCCTCGGCCAGTGATGTCTTGCTTCCTAATTTACTGCCATTCTTGAGCGTGCCATAGCCAAACATCCTGTTTTTTTCAGCATTTAATTATTATATTGCTATTTTTGGACTGGATTAGAGAATAATACATCGACCGTAACATCGATTACATTGATGTGCAGACATACGATGTTTTTTTTATCAATTTAGATATATCCACGGCATGGCTTTGTTATCGATAGGGCACACTACCAATACACGACGTGGTTTTTTTATATTATATACTGTCCGGCTCCGGATTTTACTTACTTTTGCGTTTTCAGCCAAAACGTTCCGTTTAAGTTTTTAGGTTTTGCCGTTTTTTAAATATTTCTGATCGATATATATCACTTTCCCATGTCCTATGAAGCGAACAATTTCGGGCTGTTAAGCGCACATTATCTGTGATGTGTAACAGATTTTATTCCGACTTATCGATAACCAAATCGGATTAAATCATTTTGTTGCCCTGACAAACTATTTCAAGCCTAAATAAGAGGTTGGATAAAAAAGAATTGCCCTGGTAATGGTGTCAAATATATTTTAATACATCAATAATTTACATATATTTTTCCCTTTGCAATTAAGATATGTTTGCTGTATAAAAAGCGGTTTACTTTTCATTTCGACGAGGAAATTCTGTCCGTTTTGAAAATGAAATCGTTGTCTTTGCGAAAGTGAAAACTGGAGCTTCCGTGAACGTCTGGCTTGAGACATCTATCATTGCAATTCTATGATTATATTCAATAAGGCTTAATGTCTTTACTTCAAACTACATTCTCAGGCCTCACGTTCCCACATACAACGTACTCGTCTACTGCTCGGGTTCTCTAGGGTTGCAGGCAGCATATTTTCTTTCCATGGAAATAGGATTAAATTTCTTGGCTGACCAATAATCGTTTTCCTGTGTCGTGTATCTGTATGCTGGAGGTTTTAGTTGCTAGTATGTCTTTATCATGTTGTGGTTATAGTTATAGTTTGTTTAGCGATTAGCGTTCTTCAATTGATTAGACAACCACTCGAGCCCCTCGTAGAGCCCATCGCCGTTAGTGGCACACGTCGATTGAACGTGACAGTTGCGGTTGGTCAATGAGTGCAAACCAAGCTTGTCGGCTACTTCAGCTGCACTCATTGCATTTGGCAGATCCTAAAACGATTCAACAAAATAATGGGATCATGTGAGGATCATCGATAATTAAAACATATATGTAGTCTTGACGATATCTGGAATATCAGTCCCGTCTTGAAACAAAATAAACTTTGACTAATCATAGTATGGATCATAACAAGTTATTAACATCATTTAAGAGGCAATTCTGCCTACTAAAACATAATCGGATGGGTGCTTTATGCGGCAATCGCATGCTTACCTCTTTGTTGGCGAATATTAGCAAGACTCGAAGCTCGTCCTCCACCATCATACGCCTCAATTCATCTCTCGCCTCTTCAATACGCTCTCGGTCATTGCTGTCAACGACGAAGATGATAAACTGTACAAGAACCAAAAACGTATTCCAATTAGTGCATATATGCAGAATTAAAGCAATAACTTTTGTGGGTGCATATTGACAAATCAGTCCCGTCTTGAAACAAAATAAACTTTGAATAATCATAGTATGAATCATAACAAGTTATTAACATCATCTAGAAGGGGTCTGTAGTCCTATTGATGCCGAGATCTATGCACTTACTTGTGTCATGTGTAGGAAGTATTGTCTCCACAATGGACGAATTCTGTCTTGGCCGCCCACATCCCACACTGTAAAGGTAATATTCTTGTATTCAACAGTCTCCACATTGAAACCTGTTGGGAGTGGAACAGAATAAAACATATAGAATGAGTACCGAGAATAGTCATAGCTGCTAGGCCTAGATTTACTTACCAATTGTAGGTATCCCTGTTATAACTTCGCCTAATTTAAGTTTGTACAGAATTGTGGTTTTACCAGCGTTATCCAAGCCGACCATCAATACGTTAATTTGCTTCTTGCCAAAGAGCCCTTTGAATAGATTGGCGAATGCATTTCCCATTGTTGCTCGCCTATCATTCGATGCTTTAGGTTGGAGGAGATGGAAATCTGAGATGGGAAATTGGAGATTCTGCAAATAAACCAAACAAAATAGATGTTTTAATGAACCTAACCTAACTAATGATGGTATGTGGTACAGGATTTCACTTATTGGTACTGCCCTAACAACTGCTATTACATGCGACCGCGTTGTAAATCCGGCAATTGAAACTGAATCGCATTTTTATTGAGAGTGTTTCCATTGAAGTAATCGTTCCCCTCAATTTGACGTGTTGATAACGTGTTTAGTCATAACAGTTCTTATAAAATATAGCTAAAATTTTATTAAACTAGACTATGCGTTGACCAGTTCCCTGGCCATTTTCGAGATACATAACTTTGGTTGGGTTGAGAACACTGCCTTCATGGGACGTACAAACTTATCAAATTGCCGGATAAAATTTTACTGCAGCCAGAATCCATGATTTCTCTATAACTAAAGGCTGATCGCGAACAACTTCGGCTTGATTTTACTAGTGCACTTGGAGTGTCGCCCAGCGGCGATGGAATCTCCGCAAAAACACGTGGGTTGTGAAAATGTCTTTTTTTGTGCTGCTGATATAAATATTTTCTTTACAATTAAATTTACCTTTCGTTTAAGTCTAACGCCAACTTGTAATTCTTTGAAATTTGCTTCGCAGACATCTTGAGTTTGCTTTTTATTTTATAATTTGAAAAATTGTACAATCTTTGAAGCAGAAATTGGGTCTCTAGTGTGGGAAAACTTAAATTTTCAGCCATGTGAAGATCAGGGGTATTGAACAAATTCCATCGATAGTAAGCCGCAAATAAGAAATACGCCTTATCGATAGTACTTGCGATTTTTTTCCAGTCTCTATGCTCCTTGTATTGTGCGACTCTTTTACTCGGCTTTCCTAAGGAAATTAGCGTTTTTCATATATAATTAGTAATTAAATAGAGTCCTCGGAGTTAGCCAACATGGGGAGCGCACTAGAAAACTTTGTTAATCAAGTGCGCACGATGAGCGCGTCCGGTTAGTGTTTGGGGCAAGCCGGCCAGTGTTCCGGCAACTTGCGAATTTTTGCCTCCGCCTCTGCTTTTATGCGTCTTATTTATGCATGACTGTTCTGTTTGGATTGCAGGCAGCTTCAGGGAGCTGGCCGACGATCTGCCAGAGTCGGTGTCGCTTTTGGCCCGCAACTGGAGCATACTGGACAATGTGCTGGAAACGCTCGACGTGCAACAGCATACGCTGGGCGTGCTCTATGTGCTACTGGCGAAACTGCACAGCGCGGCGACCGCCAATCCGGAGCCCGTGCAAATTATTCAGCTGATGCGCGACTTTGTCCACCGCAACAATGTGGAGCAACTGCGATTCGCCATATGCGCCTGTGGGTAGAGCTGGCCTCAAAAGAACCTGATTGTGAGATGAACACTATAATTTTTTGCCTCTCCACAGTCTACGAAACTTGCCATTTGTTCACGGACTATCTTGTCCAGAAGAACCTAAGCATTCTGGGCATCAAAATCATGGCGCGGGCCGTTGACCAGATCCGCCAAATAGACTCACAGCTAACCCCCATACATGCCGATCTCTGCCTGCTGAGCCTGAAGGCGAAAAACTTCAATCTGGTGCTGACCTACTTGGATGGAGACATCACCGACATCTCCACGGCGGCCGCCGAGTGCAAGACCCAGCAACAGCAGCAGTCTCAGCACACGGTGGTGAGGGCCTTACACTTTTAACTTTGAGCTGATTCTAATCCGATTGCCTTGCAGGACGCTAATAACGATGCCAAGTACTTTCTGCTGTTCTACTACTACGGCGGTATGATCTACACGGCTGTGAAGGACTATGATCGTGCCCTGTACTTCTTTGAAGTGTGCATCACAACCCCGGCCATGGCCATGTCGCACATTATGCTGGAGGCGTACAAAAAGTTTCTCATGGTTTCGCTCATCGTAGAGGGCAATGTAAGACAGCTTTGTGATCAAAAATCTTGCCCAACCTTCCTCTAATCTATATCCCAATGGCAATTACAGATAGCGTTTATACCAAAAAACACACAGGTTATTGGCCGCTTCATGAAGCCAATGGCCAGTCACTATCACGATCTGGTTAATGTGTACGCGAATTCCTCTAGCGAGGAGCTGCGCATCCTCATCCTCAAGTACAGTGAAGCATTTACGCGTGATAGCAACATGGGTCTGGCCAAGCAGGCAAGTCGATCGATGGACTGTTCCTATTTCCCAAATGATTATCGCTAGCGAGATCTTTGTCTCTAGGTAGCCACCTCCTTGTACAAGCGAAACATTAAGCGGCTCACGAAAACCTTCTTGACGCTCTCCCTTAGCGACGTTGCCAGTCGTGTGCAGCTGTCCGGTGCAGCGGAGGCAGAACGCTACATCCTGAACATGGTGAGTGAAATGTAAATGGTTCTGTTTGATCATACTGCCATATGGGTGTCCCTGTCCACAGATAAAATCGGGGGAAATCTACGCAAGCATCAATCAAAAGGACGGCATGGTTTTGTTCAAAGACGATCCAGAGAAATACAACTCACCGGACATGTTCCTAAATGTACAAACGAACATAACGCAGGTTCTGGATTTAGTTAAACAAATCAATAAAATGGAAGAGGAGATCATATTGAACCCTATGGTGGGTTTTTCGACCATCAAAAATGCTTGAATCCCTTTGAATTATCTTTGATTTCAATTACAGTATGTGAAAAAGGCTCTGGGCAGCCAGGATGATGACCTAACGTCGCAGCACCCAAAGACCTATTCAGGGTAAGTGTGCAAACATCCGTTATTGAATTTGTAATTTTTACTTTTGTACTTTTACAGCGATCCCACAGATTGATGATACCACCGCAGCAGCAAACACCCCCAACCAGCAGCTGGGATCACAATCCCTGTTGACTGCCATTAAACGTATGCTCATCCAGGTCCCCCAACAACCCAATGAGATATCCCCACTCATGTCGGAGATGCAAGCAAGGCCCTGGGCCAACGAGGAGCTGCACAGGCCAGCACTCATCCTCAGCTTCAGCAGCCAACAACTGAAACTGCGCTCCAATTGCAACATTTATAGATGAACATGCTATTTTAAATAAACTATGTATAAATCTATGACTAAGCCAGGGGGGCCTACAGCAGCTCTCCCCTCTACTACACTCTATCTCTTATCACGTATTGATTGCGCTTGACTCACAAGCTATTTGGTAGATAGATAGCAGGTTACGCTGCAAACGATAAGGAGGGTATGCCGCTTGCTTTCGATCAGGCGACGTTTACGAGCCCCAATTACTCTGCACTTGCTTCGCGATCTTAATTGCTGCTTGCTTAATGCTCAAGTCGTTTATTTATGTACATTATAATGCATATGTAACCTAACCTTAGGACAATAAGAACGTTTAGGTGACTAGAGACTGCCCCCTCGCCGCAGTTCGATGGTGGGGGGCAGTGGCTTATGGCTAGTGTAAGTCTAAGTGTATGTTCAGAGTTTAGGGCTAATTGCTTTAGTTTATATCAGGATACGTTTTACGTTTACGAGTAGTTTGTGTTTGTGTTTCTGTGTCTGTGTCTGTTTTGCGGTACGTGGGTGTACCGCCAGCTGTCGACTCCAAGACTCGGAGCATTCTGTCGTCGGGCTTCGCTGAGATTCTCCCGCGCCGCACCGCACCGCGCCGCTCTATGTGTAGCTGAGCCGAGCCAAGCCGCCAGCTGCTGCTTCTGCTGCGCCTTCTTAACCGGTTTTCAGCGGGTCTATCTCCGCTATGGAGGTCTTCAGCTCGTGTGTAGAAATCGGACTCGATATGGGATCGCCGCTGTTGATGCTGCGATACAGCTTATGGACCACATTGACCAATATGAAGCACAGAATGAGCACCAGTAGCGACATGAATGCATACGCCAAGACCAAAGGGGTGTCCGAGATGGGATCCAGCATTTTGATAGTCGTCTTTTTCGTCGTTGCTCTTTACTTGAACACGCTTCAAATTTTTCTGATACTTTGTACTGTACGGCTCACCGAAACAAAAAATAATGTGCAAGTATATATTTTGACAGTGACAGTGGAAGCAAAGGCAAACGCGGGAGACAGTCCAAAACGACAAAGCGACCAAACGACAAAGCGACCAAACGACCAAGCGACCAACCGGACGACACACAGAGAACGTCAAACCGAACCGAAACAGAAACAGAAACAGAACTGAAACGCGTATGCTAATTAAGTATCGTATATTGTATGGTGTATTATGGGGTACGTGTGTGTTCCTGTTGGAAAATAAAATGCCGCGCGTCGGTGGGTCGTGTGTGCGTCGCTTGACACCTGCCTGAGAACTGAATCGAGCGAATCGAGTTAAATGAATGGAACTTTGTTTGGCATTACGTATACGATTCGTTGCCAGATTGTTTGTCGTCGTGTTGGTGCTGGTGCTGGTGCTGTAGAGACTGTTGTGCTCCGCCGTCTGTCTGGGAGTAGTTTTTTTTTTGTGTTTTGATAAGAGGCTTGTGCAATCCGAATCCGAATCCGAATACTGTGAGTACAATCTGAGACTTGGACCGCGATTAGACAGGTTCTGGAGCTTTCCCTTTGACCAGGGCTCAATGCTTTTCATCTGACTGCGTGCCTGGAGCCAAGCGAGAGACTTATGAGAGTATAATTCATAGAATTCCAGCCGTACTCTCACTCGAGCATTGCAATCAAATCAACAGCGCCGCCTTCTTAATTGGTTGCCTCAATAAAGAATGAAATGGCGTCTAGCAAATTGCTTGGGGACCCTGGATGATTGTGATCACGATGATGATGATGATGATGGTGGTGGTGGTGGTGAAGCGATGTTCTGGTCGGCCACTGCGACTTGGCCATTACCAGCGATAAGGTGCGTGGGGAGGTGGAGGATAGCTCTAGAACTGGCTTGGCTCTAGAACATCTTTATCTATTGATAACGTTTCCACGCAATCACAATGATAAGCGCATAGCCAGACTTGGGGACATTGACAGAGACAGGTGCCACAGGTGCGAGGCGAGTACATTCCCCCTTGTGCACCGCACTTGAAACAAAACAAAAACGTACCCCATACCATGCCTTTGCCAGTCACGCGATTCTAATAGGCTGGCGTGAGCCCAGTGCGCCCAGCGACGACCCACTGGCCGGACGACCCTGAAACCACAGAGAGGCCTGTCTCCGCGGACTAGACTATGAATAGAGTATTCGACGACGACTCCACTTTAATCGCATGCACGATGTGAGAGCGAGCAGGCGCTCGAAACGAGTTCTACACAAAATCAAAAATGAAAAACCTAATTATAGATGCATCCGAGATGCCCCCCTCTTCATGCCCCACATTCCACAGTCATTCCATCGGCCTGCGCTGCTGTGCTTTATGCTGTGCCGGTGCCGATGGCAGCCGGTCCTACTGTTCGTCTCCGGAATTGGGGTACTTCTCCGTCGCCACATGATGCTGTCCAGGGCGATCCGAGGGCTGCTCTTCCCGCAGCATGGTGGGTATGGTGGACATGGTGGGCATGGTTGGACTGTGGCTGCACTTGAGCATGAATTTTAGCCGCGAGATCTTGGAGAGCTGGTCATAGTAGCGGATTATGCGGACGGATTCAGATGGGCGGTCCGTGACGGCGGCACAGACACAGACTGGTGGCTCGCGATCGCAGCTGCACGTGAAGCTGATGGAACGCCGGCTGGGACTCATGTCAAACTTAATGCCCACTAGATAGCAGGGCTCCAGGCTGAGCGTGATCCGCACTGAAAGGGCAAGCAGAACGAGAATGATGTCCTAGTTGTAGAGTCCAGCGCTTGGTCTGCACGTCTTACCCGTCGTCGACTGGATGAATTGCGATCGGTTCTGCAGCGAAATGGAGCGGTCACACATGCTGGCCGTCTGCTGGGCTGACGATCTGCTGGTGGCTCTCTGGACACTCTGCAGATGGCGCACCGGTGAGTCGATGTAATCGCGAATGGCGCCCATGGGCATGGGCATGGGCATGGGCATGGGTTGGTGGCCAGACAGCGGCAGATTGTCGTAGACGGAGATGTAGATCTTGTGGCTGATGTAGACCACAATGAAGCACATTATGCAGATGAGCAGCAGAATGAGACCATAGGTGAAGAGCCTGGGTATCAGAAAGATGGCGTCCAGCAGCATTGGAATGGCAGCTGCCATTTGACAGGAAACACAAATTCACAGAGGGGCGGATTTGGGAAAGCCAGTGGCAGTGGCAGTGCCAGTGGGATTGGGTTTGGGTTTGGGTTTGGGTTTGGGATGGTGGCCAGGTGCCGGGACAGGCCTCACAATCCATATATCGCACGCTCTCTTTGCTTGATTTTTGCAACATCTATGTAAATGTATTTATTTCTTATATTCTTGTTGTATTTTTTGTGTATTTTTTTTTTTTTTTTTTCTTCTTTTCTTTGTCAGTGTTTTTTGTTGTTGTTGTTTTCAGTTTTAGTTTGCTTTTCCTTTTTCGGCATATAGTACATACGATTTTACATTGATAAGTTTATGTTTTTTTATTTAATTGTATTTCTCTGTATCCTCTCTCTCTCTCTCTCTCTCCATAGCTCTCTCTCTCTCCCTCTCTTTCACTGCTTTTTAGTTGAGGTTAGTTTTTTTTTGCAATATTTCTCTGTGACCTTTGAGCCTAACCCGCCGGCGGGTACGGGGGTGTATTCCTAATGCCCCACTGGGGGGCTCTTAAGAATCCCCTAGGCATTCAACCTTTTTCCTTTCTATTCTTTGTGTATGTGTGCGTGCGCGTGTGTGTGTGTGAGAGTGGTGCAGCAACAGCTGAAGCCTTAAGGTAATGTGCCACCGTCCATCCGTCGGGCAGATAAATACACAAATTTCGGCTGTTGTATTGAATGTTTTTTAAATGCAACTTCTCTTGTTTTCTTTTCGGGTTTCTTTTCGTTTTTCTGGCGACATGACATGAGAAACTCACACACGCACACACACTTATACTATCCTACACAAACACACACACACGTGCGTATACGCTCTCTTTAATTGATTTAAATTTTGAATTAATTTACAAATATCTTAATACTCCGTTGACCCTCTATTTTGGCATGCATTCCTTGTACGTACATATGTGTGTGTGTGTGTGTGGGTGTGTATAACAGAGTAAAAACTGTACTAATTTCAAAGGTATAACAGTTCCAAAAAAAAAAAAGTTAGCCAAAAGCTTAAATTAGTGGGTTAACAAATCATAAATATACAAAAAATAAAAATAATAATAGAACTAAGTTCGAATTGCAGAACCCTTTCGTTCGTGAAGAAACAACAACAAGAATTGAGGGGTAAAAGGGGATTTTTCTTATTTTTTTCTGTTTAATTTCAGTTAAATATTTTCATAGAACTTTCCGACTTCATGTTGGCCGCTAAATTGTAGGTTTAAAAATAATTTACTAAAATTAAAAACTGTTCAGAAAATCGTTTGTGGCTCTCCTCCTCCGTTCACTTTTCCTATATGACTTTTCCCCCAGCTCTCGCCCGCAATCGCATCTGTGTGTGTGAGTGTATGTGTGGGTGTGTGTGGGTGTGGGTGTGTCAGTGGCTAATTTTCCTTAATACACATATATTTTTGTAATTTTGTTTTAATTCTTTTGCTCAAAAACATTCAGACATCTTTTGAATATTTAATGAAACGTTTTTCTTTTGGTTTTCTTTCCATCTTTTTTGTTTTGGGTGGCAGCATGTTCCATTTGCAGAACAAATAGATTTTTCTTTTGAAATAGAGCTCGAGACTCTTTCGGAAGAGAAAGGTGTAGAGAAGTCTTTGAGTAATAGAATGAATAGAATTCAGAAGTAGGGGCCTGGCGAAACAACGAAAAGAAATCCCAGGCTCCAGTGTCGCAGAGTCGCGTAGGGGCGTAGGGGAACATGCCGCCGCAATCTGTGCACAGAGAACACACGTACACGAATAGTATATGTAACTTTCAGCACAACATACAGAATCATATTAATTAACATAGTTTTGTCCTGGGCTCTGGATACGTCCTCACCTCCCTCTCCGCTCCTTCTTCCCCTATCGCAAACATCGCCATGTAAGGGTCTATGTCTATCCATCCCTTGGGGACAGGATGGAAGGCAATTAACTTTACAAATTCATATAGTGTTTAGTGTTTACGACATTTTCATTTCTTGCTGCTGAGCATTGAACCCCTTATTCTACGGGTTCTTCTTCTTCGTCTTTGTCTTCGTCTTCGTCTTCATCTAGATGCTGTTGTTTTTGCTGCAGATGTTTGTTGTGGGCGTTCGCTGCGTTGTTGTTTGTTTGTTTGTTTGTTTTGTTGGTTGCTGCTGTGGTGTGCTTTATGCTGCTGCTGTTGTTGTCCTTGATTTAGACGGACAACGACACGAAGCTGTTGTACTGCGTGATGTTGCGTTTGAGTATGTCTGCGCAGGGTCCCAAAACGCGCTCGAATCTGAAGGATATGGGAGGGATGACACGCGTCAAAACAGTTTCTTAATTATAGTTCCTTTCACGTACCTCGCCCGATCCAGCTTGACGCACTTGAGCGGCCCGCGGGCCACCACAGTAGCAGCACGTGGCCGATCCAACAGCAGGGCAATCTCACCAAAGTAATCGCTCGAGCCCAGGCGACCCACCTCAGCAGGGTCTTCGCCCTGCTACAAAAATAAGAATAAACAGGGATAATTCGATAATTGCTCTTTAAGCTGAGCTCTGTGGGGGGACTCACCTCTGATCGCTGCTGCAGCACCACCGCACAGCCCTCGAGGATGATGTAGAAGTCATCGCCGGCCGCTCCCTGCTTCACGATCGTCTCGCCATCGTCAAAGGAGCATGTCTCGAGCGAATCGGCCACCGTGAGGCGCTCCCACTTGTCCAGGCTCTCCAGAATGGAGACGCGCGACAAGAACTCCTCGTACATCTTGCGCTTGCGAATGGTGGATCCCATCAGAATGCGTCTGTAGGAGTCGCGATCGATGCCCCACAGCTTAACGTCGCTCTTGGCGCGCACGGTGGCAGCCCGAGGTGTGCCATAGATCAGGGCCAGTTCGCCAAAGCTGCCGCCCTCGCTGATGGTGGTCACCAGCTCGGAGTTGACGAAAACCTGTTCGAGAAGAGCCACAGTGAGTCGGGGGTGCAGAAAGTACTTACTGGCTGCCATTCATGGACTACTCACATCAACCTCTCCCACATCGATGACATAGAAGTTGTCGCCCTCATCGCCCTGCTGGATAATGTTCTCGCCGGCTATGTGGTTGACGGGGAACATGGCATCGAATATATCGGAGCGCTCGCTCTCGTCCAGATGGGCGAAGAGCACGTTCTTGGCAATGGCCTTGGACAGGGAATTCATTGTCTTGTAGTCCTTTGGCACCACCTTCTTCACATAGTTGCTGGCATCCTCCTCGGTGACGGGCTCCGCGGAGATGCCGCCGCGCCTGCGCACCGGCGGAGCAGCTGTTTGTGGCATTGGGCTGAGATCGTCGCAGTCGTCTGGGCTGATGACCTGTTTGCTGGCATCCAGTTTGACTTGTTCCTGCAAACGACAACAAACAAAGAGATCTCCTTAGTATCACGGCATATCGCTCTCATTATCGCTTATATAGATTACATTTTATATAGCTCTATCAGGGTCTTACGCATTTTATGACTCTATTCCTAACTACACTATAATGTAGATAAAACGGTTTATAATTTGTTTTATATAATACAAAAAGTTCCGAATAGAAATAGGTACTACTAGGGGGCAAGCCCCTCGATGAACCGCGATATATCGAGAATTTACGTGCACAAAATATGGGGTGGTGACCCAGAGCAAGCTATCGAGCGACGATAGATACCTAAAGCCAGATGTTGAATTTAGAAAAATCCTCCTTATCAGCTAGGCTCGAGCGCAAGCGCACTCTATGCGTATTTTGTTTTTGCACTCTCGGTCCGAGCTTTTTTTAAGCATTCTCAGGCTTGTGCGTCCGAGGGGCTCCAGCTGGGAGACCAAGGACGTGTCTTAAACGATGATTCCATTCAGATTTCATCTTCAATTTATGTAAATATTTCTGTTGAATCACAAACTGTTAATGTCCAACATTTCCCTATAGAATTAATCGGATTTACAAATTATTATAATTATTATTATTATTGTTGAAGGCCCTCCGTGAATGTAATTGAAGTAAGCGTTTGGCTAGCTCATATACTGCTAAGAAACACGGCATTAGGGAAAATTGGAGGTTCTCGTAATTCCGATTTCCGTCGAAATTAACGAAAAGGGTAATCGGTAGCTCTATTATCATAAAACAAAGCAAAAAGGAACTCAAAGAGGGAAAGAAGAAAGAAATTTGAGTCCTTTATATCCGGTGTATTGAAGCTCTCTTCGGGTCCCGTCTCTCCTTCTTCATTGGCAGGCTCCATTCTGTTGACTATTTGGGTATAACCTTTTGCCAGTTTCGGAGGATGTCCCGACCCCTGGCGTAACCTGCAACTCCCACTCCTTTCGTGCGTGTGATGTGCGTCATTCGCTGTGGGCGGAGTGGGGGCGTCTGGGGGCGAGGACACAGAAACTGCAATCAGGAGTGCCACGAGCTCTTTCTGAGAAATACATTATTCAAATGTCAAAAGGCAGATGCACGGAACCCGGAAAAGCTCCGTTCCCCTTTCCTTCCCTTCCCTTCCGCCCCCTGCCCCGTCCACCTACGCGAAAGTCATTAAGCTCTCTCGTCATCATCATCCCGCCCGGCAGTTAAAAGCTGAAGAGCTTTGCATTCTGACTTCTGGCGCGCGGTGTCTGTATCCTGCCTGGCGTCTTAACTTCTTATGCAAATTAAGGCCCACATGCAGCCCACATTCCCCATGTCCCCCCTCCCCCTCCCCCTCCCCACCATCCCAGGCAGCCGTCCAGCTGCCCAATTGCAGTGCGCGAGGCTCTGGGCCCGGGAAAGTGTGTATCTAAAGGGGGGAACGGTGGGGGGTGGTCTCTGACGTCAAAGCAGCCAGGCAGAACTCTGACCAGCAGCTGCCCCAAGTAGCATGATTAAGTTGCATTAAACTGTCACTCAATGCGACTGCAAGTGGCGGCCAGCTGTCAGTTCCATTCCGCCTAAAAATAGCCATCAAAGTGCATCCACAAGTGCACGAGATATTTGGTATCTAATAATCTATCCAATGGTTCAAGAAGCATCAACGTACACCCCTATCTGGGGTATATTCAATGGGAATATCCAAGGGGCTTGCATTAAGTCCCATCTAAAAGAAATCTTTCTTGTAATAATCAACGCAGTCCTGGGTTTTGCGCTCTACAGCACATTTGTGCGCCTTACAGCACCCTGTTATTCGACAACTAACCAGCACCTTGACCCGCAGTCGAGAAACCGGCCTTAGGACCCGTTCCCTGCAGTCCCAGGATCCCAGGGAAAAATCGAGAGTTTCTTTAGAACCCCCGAAAATCCTTAACAAGATCAGAAATCTTGGTGTATCTTCCTTCAACGTATCGTTGAATAAAATAAAATATTAAAAGATTTTCTTTGAATCTTAACTACAGATATTTTGTTGTTTTTGCAAACGTCTTGAAGCACGCAAAAGATGTGTTCTACAGTGGGATTTTACTTCGAAAAACCCAAGCGGAACGACCATCGAAAATCATTTATTACTACCCATAAAATATCATCGGGCGGGGGGCCCACAGAACTTCAAATGAAACGGCGCAAGTTTTTTATTGTCTAAACAAACGCACGAAGGCGAGCGAATATTGTAAACAAAGCGGTTGAAAAATATGAGAAAAAGGAGAAAATAAACCAGAGAAGAGAGAGAATCGCAATTATAAAGTGAACCAAACAATCATCGGTCGGGGATGATGATAGCACGAGCCACTCCGAATGTGTGGCCCCTCAAAGTACTTGGGCCGCTGCCAGGCACCGGGCACTGGGCACTGGGCAGCGGGACGGGACCTCTCGCTTCGAATGAATTCAGGTGTCAAAACAATCGAGTGCCGCCCCATTCGACGCCACCTGACAGGCATACAAATGGCTCCAATATCGGCTCCATGTCGAGGCGAGTCCACAGTCCATCGCTGAATTTGCATATATATTTCAGCGCCATTCGTGGGACCTGTGCAGCCAGCCGGCAGCCGGCAGCCAACGGCCAACCTCCAACATTCAACAGCAGCAGAAAAGCAGCATCATGCAGTCATGCCACCACACTGCCACCGGCTCCGGCTCCGGCTCCGGCTCCTGCAATAAAATTGCAACTTTGTTGACTCTGGGCTCCTGTCAGGGTCAGGAGCCAGTAGCCAGGACCCAGCCATACCCAGTCGTGGGGCGTGTGTGCCTTGCGATACGAGCGATATGACCGTGACCTTTGTGCAGACGCGGAGTCGGCGCCCAGCCAACCCGTGGCCGTGGCCGTGGCAGTGGCAGTGGCCATGCCCCCACCCTTAACCCGAACACAAACACGAACACTCTTTTGCGATTTATTTCCTTTACTGAATTTCCCCTTTTCCGGACTTTTTGTCAGCTGCATGGTTTTCCGCTTTTAGCAGCGTTTTCCGATGACATAGTCGTACCGTTTAGCGGAAATCGATTTCGCAGTGTAAATTGAATCCAAAAACCCCTGCCCTGCCCTGCCCTGCCCTGCCCTGCCCCGCCCTGCCCACGGATGAGTTGACTTTGTGGTTGGGGCTTCGTGCGCTGGTAAAACCTCTTCTTACCCACGTAGGCCCCGGGTGGCTCGAAAGTTTGGAGTCTTGTCGAGAGCGTCACACAGCTCGAGGCTCGACATTGGGGGCCCTTATCAAAATTACTTGCTAATAAAGGCCAAACAACATTTATGGGAACGGTGACAAATGCCACTCTGATTACTCGTAGATGTCAGCAAATGAAAAGGCGGGCGTGGTTGAGATACGTTGAGAAGGTGGGACAAGAGGGTGACATGTGAAAAGTGGTAGACGGAATGCGGACAAATTAGCAGATATGGCAGATATAGCCGATATTCTTGTGTCAATGGCCAAGCAAAGGAGGAATAGTTTAGCAGTTTTTATAAAAGTATAACAGTATAACACTCTTTCTTAAAACAGAGGGTATGCCTGCAAACAAATTTTTATATCAGTATAACAGTATACCACTTTTCATATCAGTCTTACAATTTTTGTAACTGTATACGAGAAGTATACCTGTGTATATAACAGTTTTTGCACTCGTATGCCAGTTGGTGTAATGGTATTTTAGCATTTCGATGTATAACATTTTTGTGGGGCTGTGTTTATCCTTGCAAACACTTAGTATTGTTGAGTATAACAGAAAAGGTCTCCAACGCTAAGAAGCCCCTAAACGATTAGATCCCCCCTTGAAGAGATATCCAGAGCAGCTCTGAATAGTGTACAACAGGGATCATTATACGAGTAGGTAGAATCCAAATATATAAATAGGGATATACAAATATAACACACCGAGAGTGAGATGTGAGTGCAGCAACCGCAGTTCGTGTACCCCGTTAGAGATAAAAGTTAGTTAAGCATTTTTCCCAACCTATTTTCACTTGTCTACGGTGCACAAAATGTGCATTATAACAGTGACAATGGAGCACTTATGGGTCGACAAATGGGGGGGCCATAGAGCTCCACGCTCTGGCCGTTGAATGCAATTGTGGCGGCCTGTGTGGGATGTGTTGTTGCCTCCAATGAGCATGAATAAACGAGTGATTGTGCAAGCGATGCACACAATCAAACAAACATACATACAGATGCATGTGTACTCGTAGAATCGTATAATGAATGAATAGCAGTAAAAACTAGACTGGACTTATGGTTCTACTTAAATGTACACACATATATGGTAGACTTATGGGACTAACAGAAGAAGCATTTTGCAAACCTTAGGCATATTTTCTGCTTTTGGTCGAGTATCTGTGCGTGTGTTTTAGTGTTTCTTTTGTTATCCGCTTGTAGGTGTGTAGGTGTGTAGGTGTGTGTGTGTGTGTGTGCCACTTCTCAATGTTCAACAACAAATTCACTTCTAATATGGACACAGAAAAACAAACAACGAAACGAAAATGCGCGACGTGCTGTGAGATTTATATTGTAGAATGTTTCCACTGTTGGATTTGTGATTCTTATGCTTCTCGCAGCAGACAGCAAACAGCAAACAGCAGAAGAACGAATCCACTAGCCACAAAACTACAAGCAGCGGTGGCAGCAGCACCAACAACAACAGCAACAGCAACAGCAAAGAAGAGTGAGAAATATTATAGAAATATTACGTATACGTATGGCGCGGACAGGCGAGCAAATACGGCCAGCCATGCCAGGCAATGACAAATCCAATGTCAAAGTTTTATAAAAATAAATATTCAGAAATGCTGAGAAATATTTCTTCGAATTGGACACAAATTCTATCCATCAGCAGACACATTCAGCTTGAGCTGATCAAACAAGTAAAGGTCTTTGCAAAAGGGTTTTCCCCCCCCCCTCCAAGACCGAGAAAGACATGCAGTGTCCAGCACTGCGTATGATTGATATTTACTGGGGGCACTGGCTATTAAAAGAATTCGCCA